AGTCAAAATAATAGTTACATTTTACCATATAAAAATTAAGTAATAAAAGATTTGAAATTTGTGATAAATTTTGCTATTGACTATGAAAAATGTTAGCATAATTTTTTGGCCATATTGCCCAGCCCTACCATATAGTTATCTTCTTTTAAAGCAGGGTTCTTCACACCTGGTCTTGGAGGGCTGCTGCCCTGCAGAGTTTAACTCAAATCTTGGTCAACCTTCGATTTTCTAGTGATCCTGAAGACCTTGATTAGTTTGCTCATGTGTGTTTGGGCTGGAGCTAAAATTAGCAGGGAACTGGTTTGAGGAACCCTGTTTTACATCCTCGCATAGGGCTGGGAGATATAGCTAAAAAAATGTATCAACGATATAATGTTTCATATTGTTCAGTATCGATAATTATTGAAATTTTTTATAACCTTTTTTAAAACAAAGAGCAATAGAAAAAAATTATAAATTTAACCACTGTATTTTTAAATTATCCCAATTTATTGAGACAAACAACAAATATTTTTTTGTTTTAACAATCAAACACAAAATAAAAATTAAATATCTAATTTCTAAAGTTTTATATGCAGATTAATTAGGTATTAAGGAAACTTTTGTCTTGTCTCCCGAGGCCACAGGAGGGCGCAATGAGTAAAATAATGCAGCGCATTTAAATTGTCAACGAAAGGAAGTAACTCTATAAAAAAAAAACGTGCATTACGTCTAAATTAACTTATAAAAATCTAATATAATTTCGTAAATTGCATTATGAACAAAACAGCATCATGTATTTATGCATTGCTTAAGAGCCGAAGCGCCATTCACACAGATTGCATTTAAAAACATATGAGACGCAGTGAAAAGGAATAAACCTCCACAAATTCGTGACGTGTTTTCTAAGTTTAAACTGTTTTAACTTTGCATGGCTTTCTATACATCTCTTGTACGAGACGCAAGTGCAGCTGTCTGTCTTAAAAATGTTGCGTTCTGTGTGAATGGCTTGGTTTCGGTTTTAACCTAATCAAGATCTTCTCCGCATTGAGCTTCTGTGTTTCTTTAATATTTAGAATGAATAACGCAGCAGCGGCGTGTCTTGTGTTCTAGAGCAGGGGTTCCCAACCCTGGTCCTGGAGTCACCCCAACACTGCATGTTTTGCATGTCTCCTTAATCAAACACACTTGATTCAGATCATCAGCTCATTAGTAGAGACTTCAAGATCTGAAATTGGTGTGTCAGAGAAAGGAGACATGCAAAATGTGTAGTGATGGGGTGCCTCCAGGACCAGGGTTGGGAACCACTGTTCTAGAGACTAACAAACCATTAAAATGCAGCAACATCACTTACATCATTATTACCGCATCTCGTGCGCCTTTGATGATGCTCCCTGACTCACACCTAACATTCAAATGCAAATGTTTATTTTAAATTCGACTAATATTCATTCTTTATTCACAATCTCCTCATCACAGGCAGGCACAGCACTCAATTCAGCATGTGTTTGTGTGTGCTGTCTGTGCCACTCATAGGACGTGCCTATATCGTGTGCTATATCGAACATTTTTTATATCGTTATCGAAGAAGGTGTACCGTCGATAAATAACGATACCGTTTTATCACTCCGGCCTATCCTCACATTATCAGCAAAGTATAAGAACAATGGTTGATTGACAGAAGAATAAGTGGTCCTCAGCAGGGCTCTAGAAATTACAACTGAAATGGTCACAGATATGCTAAAAAATTATTTGTGACAATTTAAAATCTGATCAACTTTTGACTTTTGTGGAAAACTCAAACTTTGTGTATCCATTTTGTCATGTGACTCATTGGTTAAGTACATCTTCAGAGTGCATGCCAGTTTTTCTTGCATGCAACAGTGAACTCATCACAGGCCTTGATGTCTGATTCACAGACAAATGGTTTTTACAAACCAGTTCTTAGTGAAAAAGATTCTTGGAACATTTTAAAACTGAGCTCAGTCATTTCTGAACAAGGCTCACTCTTTATCAAATTATTCTGTAATTTATGTACAAAATAAATAATTTGGCTAATTTGATCCTAAATGTTTTCCTTTTTTCCTTGGAGTCCTGAATCACGTTATCCATGGCTTCACAGAAATAGTTGTGCAATCAGTAGCTTGAGGCTGTAAGATTCATGATAGTACTAGACCAGTGTTTCTCAACCCTGGTCCTGGGCGCCCCCCCAACACTGCACATTTTGTGTGTCTCCCTAATCAAAACACACCTGATTCAACTCATGAGCTCATTAGAAGACACTCCAGGACCTGAAATGGGTGTGTCAGATAAGGGAGACATACAAAATGTGCAGTGTTGGGGGGCGCCCAGGACCAGGGTTGAGAAACACTGAGCTAGACCAGGGGTTTTCAAAGTGTGGGGCGCGCCTCCCCAGGGGGCGCCAGAGCATGTCAGGGGAGGCGCGGGGAAATTATAATAAATTAAAAATATAATTATTGAGTTAAATTATTATATGTATTTTTTATTATATATATACATTTTTTTTATTTAAACGATACTAAAAAAATAAGTCAAAAATATGAGAAACATTTTTCACCCAGAAGGCCGTAGCTGTGAATTCGCTGCTGTTTGACAAGCCCGCCAAAATGTATATGCCTAATAATACAATGGAGCGGTTTCTGAGAGCCCCCGATTCAAAGCCTTCAACTTTAGGGCTTAAACCCAAAAGAAGACGATATGAAGCAAGTTTTAGACAGCGTCAGACACAGCCCATTTTTTGCACTCCAGATCGACAAATCCACCGATGTGGCCAGCTGTTAACATATGTGCAGTACGTGAAAAACATGGACATTCAAGAAGAGTTTCTATTTAGTAGTCCTTTGCCCACCCACACAACAGGTGAACACATTTTCAACAAATTGAACGAATTTGTGAGAAAGAACGATATAGACTGGGAACGCTGCTGTGGCATATGCAGTGATGGGGCAAAATCAATGACGGGCCGCCACAGTGGTCTCATATCGAGGGTTAAAGAGGTAGCTCCGAGAGCCGTGTGGACCCACTGCACAATTCATAGACAAGCTTTAGCTGCCAAGAAGAAGCCAAATGATCTTCGGAGTGTCCTCGACGAAGCTGTGAAAATTGTCAACCTGATAAAAGCACGACCTCTAAATGCTCGTCTTTTCCACATTTTATGCGATGAATTGGGAGCGCATTACAAACAGCTGCTTCTGCACACCGAAGTTCGCTGGCTGTCTCGGGGCAGAGTTCTATCACGACTTCTTGATTTGTGTAAGGAAGTACTACTTTTTCTGTCTAATGTTAAATCCCCACTGGCGCAGCACATGAGTTATTCGAGCTGGATCGCAAGGTTAGCTTATTTGTCGGATATATTTGAACGCCTCAACACGCTTAATACATCATTGCAGGGCAGAGACTGCGATGTGTTTTCGGCATTTGAGCAAGTGTCCTCGTTCCGGAGAAAGCTGGATCTATGGGCCACTCGTGTGGAGAAAGGATGCGTGGACATGTTCCCTATGCTGGCTGACTTCATGCAAGAGGCAGGGCCGACAGTGGTTCCTATTCAGCCTTTGGTCGCTGAACACCTAAGGGGTCTGTGTCAGCAATTCACACACTATTTTTCCAACGAGACAATCCAGGATGAGTGGATTCGCAATCCATTCAAGTTCAAGCCAGCAGAAAGTGACGCACTGTCTATACAAGACGAAGAGGCTTTGATTGATCTGACTAGTAATCATGAACTGGAGCAAATGATTACACTCTCTTCCATTGGACATTTCTGGCTCTCTGTTCAAAATCAATTTCCTGAACTCACACAAAGAGCACTGAGGAAACTTTTACCATTCGTTTCAACGTATTTGTGCTAATCAGGATTTTCTGCTATGACATTCATCAAGAACAAATATCGTTCACGTCTTCAAGTGGAGGATGACCTTCGTCTGTTTCTGACGTCACCACGAATTAGTCTTCTCTGCACAGCGAGGAAACAAATGCATACCGCTCACTAAGGTAGGGATATAATTATGTAAGCATATTAATCAATAGTAGAGAGATTTCAATTTTGGCATGTTTAAAGTCCTTTCCCCACTCTCTGTTACAGATCATCTGACTGTTTTGACTGGGATGGACAGCTCTTACAAATTTAAATTGCTACAAAAAATTCTGTTCTTTTCATATCGAACCATCATTGTTTTTGTTTCATTATTCTTAGTTTTAAAAACGTTATATTAACTTGTTATTACGCTGAAAATAACTGCACTTTTCATGTTATCACAAATAATGATAAAAGTGAGTTAACAGTCTGACATTGTTCTGTGTTTATCTTTGTGTGTGTGTGTTGGGGGGGGGGGGGGGGCGCCATTGGGGAAGTTGTGTCAAAAGGGAGGCCCACTGTCTTAGACTTTGAAAACCCCTGCGCTAGACTAACAGTTTCTAAAGGGGAAACCTGAAACACTGGCTGTGAGTGGAAAAAACTCATGAAATGGACCATGCAGAAGTGTGTTTGGGCCTATAAAACCCCATGTGCTGGAGAGCCACACCTCTCCAAATCACTGTCATTACGGAAAAGCAAGTTAAGACTTGATGATCCCAAATAACATTCCTCAAAAAAATAGTTTTTTTACTGAAATCTGTGATCCGGCAGTCTGTGTAGTGGTATTCAATACTGAATGAAACCATGCTTTAAACAAGAGTTTATTTTCAAATCCTCTTTTATAGATTTGTAGGGGTGAAAGTGCTCTCTAATCAAGCTCTTAAAACACCTCCCATAATCCTGATTCATTCCTAGTAGTGCGATTTGTTGTGTAACGGTGGTGGTTCCTCAGAGCGAGAGTCAGTGATGTGTAAAGGTATGTCCAGTCTAATGTCTCCTCCGCTGTAGGGCCTTACATCAAGCCTGAGGGCTGGTACATCACTATAGCAATGCGCAGCACTGAGGCATGACTGCACTCGCAGCTTTTTATCCTGCTGTGGAATGAAGTATGCCTGTATCAACACGCCTTTATCTCGGCTCTCTTCAGTGGAAGCACAGGGAGAAAGAGACTGTGTACACACCATAGCGAAGACCCTCAATGTCCCAGGAGTGTGGCAGATCTGGGCCAGGGACCTTAACTGGATCTTCCATCAGGGTTCTTCAGGGTGAGGTGGCGTTAGTGGTGGTACTGGCATCCTTTTTCCTTGATTTCTTTAGTGTTGACTGTGTGCCTTTTTACAAGCTGAAGTGTAAGTGGTGGTGGCTGGAAAAAGCTGTTTAAACTGATTGTGCTTCAAAAGAAATTAATTGTATTCATTTATACATTTATACTACTTAATGAAAGAAGATACAAGTGTTTTTTTTGTGTAGGTTTTTTCATTGGATTGCATGTGATGTGTATTGGAGTTTTATTTCTGTTTCCTAACCAGACTAGCTTCTGAGAATGTTCTTGCAGCAAGTCCTCTGATCTTTATTCTGCCCATGTTTTTTTCTCTATAGGGAAACAGGAACTGGCTCACGAGTGTTAGTCTAAGATCATGCAAGACTTGTGCAATAGTTAATCTTTTATTGATCGTTTCTCAACTCTTCAGAAATATCTTTGTTATAGCTCTGGTAAAACATGACTTTCTTGTCTTTTTAAGGATCTTTTTAAGCTTTCATGATGAAAGCACTTCTTCTGGATTTATTTGTCTCTGTTATAGAAGTTAAATCATGTAGTGAAAGGCACAATTAAACTAGGCTAAATATTTAATGTTGCATCACCTTTGCATCACATCTTTGTTGTTTGAATACAATGCACAGTTGAACTGTGCTGTAAAACAGGAAGAGATTGTGGTCACGTCGAGGTTGAGTTGCACATGATTTGCTGAAGTTGAAGTTAAGACAGGATTTCACCTTATTTGGACATGTTAATGATGGGCGGAGACAGAGGATGCAGACAGCCGCATGATGGCACTGATTTCTAACCAGACTTGATAGACTGTTGGCGAAAACACCTTTGTACCATCTTAGGCCACATGCACCTGATAAGGTTTTCTATTAAGCTACTGAATAAATGTATTTTTCTTACTAGTAGAAATTTGAAAAGAAAAAGATTGAGGACACATTGTTAAATTCACCTATATTCCAAAATCAACAAAAAAAAGACATTTTAGATAGAATTTTAAAGCATTATAAATGTGCTTCCAACAAACAAGCAGTAAATAGTTTTTAGCCAAAACCGAAATAAAGTTTCGGTAATTGAACTACATATGCTGTTGAGGACCTCATGATGAACCAGTTGTGGTCAATTTCTTGTTGCTGTTCTATCATAATTTTTAGGGATGCACCGATATGAAAATTTTGGCCGATACCGATAATTCTTTATTTTTGAAAGCCGATAAACGATATGTTGGCCGATAAATCTATATCCAATTTTTTTATATACTTTGAGAGCCTGATTACAAAAAAGGTCTCCTCATTAAAAACCACATCCCAAACACTTAAACATAAGCAGCCTAGTTTGAACGGTGTATGTTTTAAAAATAATTTTACTCTCCCATTACCAAATTTAGTCATAAAAAAGTCTTACAAATAAATAAAATAATGCATAAATAATGCAAACAAGTCATTGGACATCATTACACGTGTAAAGAATCAAAATGAATGCACCATAGATCAATAAAACGGAATAGCCTCTGCACAGACAATAATTAAATGATTTTAATTACTAAACCATATTGCTGATGAAAATAATAATAGAAAAATACAAGTGGTTGTTATTATTAATAATGTATCAATGATTTTGAAAAAGTAACAAATTAATACCAGTTTTAAATAGCAGCTGTTTGAGCTGCACGTGCTGAAGCTGAAGAGCTGAATGAACATGGTAAACTGAAGCGTTTTGCTGGCAGCTTATTTAACTCAAGGAAATGCATCCTGAGATTAATATTAATACAACATAAACATAATATTACAACTTATATATGTACAAAATGATGCAGTTATTGCGTGCTATAGTCAGAATGTGTGATCCTGTTGTGGATGCGCTCTTCCCATATCAACGCGCTGAAACACGGCAACTAAACCCAAAGAATTCACAACGTTTTATTATAATAATGTTCTCATTAGAATGTTATATACACGACATTCCCAATCATAGTTATTAATGTTGTGCACTGCTGTTTGAGCTGCGTGTGCTGAGCTAAAGATGATCACCGGTAAACTGAAGCGCTCTTTTAACTTAACCAAACGCATTCTATATGAGATAAATCAGATATACATCAAATAAACACAATATTACAACGTACAATTGCACAAAAGGCTGCAAACGAACAGCACGCATCTGAAGTGTCTCTGAAGGAAATAATGCATTATTTATCGGCTTTAAGATATCGGCCAAATTTTCTTATCGGGCCGATACCGATAACAGAAAAAATTAGCATTTATCGGCCGATACCGATATGGTGGCCGATATATCGTGCATCCCTAATAATTTTTGCTCATGGTGAAATGTGTCCACATTGTTGACATGTTTACCTGTTGTAGCTTATCTGCGCTCTGTGTATTCAAAACACATTATTGAAAAATCTTTTGGCCCTTCAAAACTGTATTGGCCAAAACTGCACGTTTGCGTTGCTGAAATTTAGTTTAATTACTAAGAGAATAATTTGCAATTCCATTCAGATATACTAGTATAGCATTTTCAGTTTAATATTGTTCCAGTGCCGTTTTACAGTAAAATATGACAGCTCTTAAAATACATAACAATAACAAAAAAAAATACTCTCAAATTTTCCCTAAGAACCGTTTTGTGGCTCCACTGAAGATCTAATCAGCATTGCATGTACCTGTTACAAAGAGGGTAATCCCATAGTCCATTTTCTTATCCAAGAAAAATGTACAGAGAAATATATATATATACATGTCATTCAGAACTGAAAAGTATCAATTGTTTCCATGTGCCTTGTATTTTTATGTGTCGAGCTTATTAAATATCTCACATGAGGAGAGGTCTTTTTGTAGTTGCTGCCTATATAGAGTGCATCAAATCAGTTACGTATTAGGTTCTATTTTGGTTCAAATGCCATCATAGCCGCTAGAAAGCAAGGTAGCAAAGCTCTAAGTGTGCTGATGTCATACAGACATCTTTAGCAAGACATCCTGTTGTGCAGACTTGCACTCTGACCTGAAAACCTCAGCACTTTCAGTTGAATTGATGACCTGCTAGAACGGTTACTCTCAGAGGACTGCAATGCTAAGCTAACTGACAGCTTTCTATGTTACAGATAGGCAGTGAATACTCCAAAAAGTATCAGTTGCTTTTGCACAGGGGTGGACATTGTTGGCGTATCTCAAAAAAGAGTTGGCAGCTAGCAGAACATGAGACAGAGTCTCTCTGTCCATGCTAACTTGTTGACTGGCTGTTTTGTAGCACAGTAGCAGCTGTTGGCTAGCGGTTAGTAAGTTTTGCACTGTTTTAGCAGACTCTTGGCGTGGCTGTTGTGGTGGTTGGAAAGCTTTCATAAAAGGTCTGTACAATAAAATTCTGAAATTGCTCCTCTGAGATTTTACTGAAATAGTTACATTGTTATTATGGGCATTTCAAACAACGCATTAGTGGATGAATAACCTTGTTTATTTTGCTTGTATTCTTCTAGTGATGGATCTGATATGCCCTGATAAAGTCTCTTGCTAAAATGGCCTGCTATCTGTCATCATCTTAATTGTCTTTAGTGCAGCAATTAATTTATCAGCTAAGTTGTTTGTTTCTCTGCCGCCCTCTGCAGGTTGATCTCTGAAACCCTATTACCCTTCTGAGTGTGTTTCCCTGTCATGTCTGACAACGGTGAGCTGGAGGACAAACCCCCTGCCCCCCCAGTCAGAATGAGCAGCAACTTTAGCATCAAGGACAGTATGTCAACAAACCCCAGTTCTAAACCCCTCCCCTCCGTCCCAGAGGAGAAGAGGGACAAACCACGCAACAAGATCATATCCATCTTCTCAGCAGAGAAAGGTAAGACCGGAGGACCCAGGGGGTGCATTCAAATCAGTATTTTGGGACAATACAAAACAGCATTTGTGTTGAATACCACAGAAAAATACTTTTGACTCAAATTAGGTTTTCTTTAAGGCACAAACATTTTAACTTAAATTATGTATTTCTTGATTATATTGTTATTTGAGCTGCAAGTTTTTGAAGTATGATTGTGGTTTTAAGCAGATGAACTTGTAATTTGTTAACAACATCATGTGTATTCATTTTTCTCTGTCAGAAGGTTTAACCATATGCAAGTCATGAGGTTTCAGTTTAGCTTTATAGGTTTCAATGTAGCTTTTTAGTTAAAAATGAGTAGTTTTTGTATGTAAATTCCCAATTATAAAGATTTTAGGGGCTAATTTTTTGTTAAAAATATTAATGCGATTAATTTGATTAAATATTGCCTTAATATTTCATTTGATTCACTTTATAATCAATTAATGTCCCTAAAAAAACAGAACCTAGCAAAAAATCATTTGTTCTTCAATATAAAAAAAAAAAAAACGTGATGTTCAATTTAAATAGTTTTTTCAACATTTGAGTTGTCCTGTTTACATTCATTGTTTATGACTTACTATAACCCAGATTTTTGCTTTTTTTTTGCCACACAATACCACAAATGGTGACAATAAGGCTCAACTTGTATTGAACTCAACACATTCCTTGTGACCCTTCTGTAGTATGCTGTAATTGATCACATTTTTGGACACAGAGGCTCATCTCAGACTTGGGATCATTGATTGTAAAATTGTCCACTGGAATCTGTCATTTTGCCAGTGACCAGAAGCATGTAACCACAATCCTTCTTTCTGTTGAAGGAAGAAAAAAAGACAAGGATAAGGAGCGTCCGGAGATTTCCAATCCTTCTGACTTCGAGCACACCATACACGTGGGCTTCGATTCTGTCACGGGGGAGTTCACTGTGAGTTAGACATACTTTCCTACTTTCCTCTGGTGCAATTTACCCATGCTGCCCCTGATCTGTCCTAATCCATCAGATGCTAGAAAGAATTGCCGAGATTGATTTCTGTGACCATTTGTCTCCTGTCTGTCATAGTGCACTAATTTAATTTGCTGAAGTTTAATTAATCAAATGATCAGATGGGCCCTAACTCACTTTCTTATTTTCATTCCCATTTCTCTATCTTTATCTGTGTCTCAGGGCATGCCAGAGCAGTGGGCTCGGCTGCTGCAGACCTCCAACATCACGAAATCTGAGCAGAAGAAAAACCCTCAGGCTGTGCTGGATGTGCTCAAATTCTACGACTCCACAGGCAACAGCAGGCAGAAATACCTCAGTTTTACAGGTAAATGGGTACATATACATACTGCAACTGTATTTGAATTCATCCTCTAATGTCTATGTTCCTCCTCTTGATTTCAGATAAAGACGCACCACCAGCAAAAAAAGGCTCAGATCAATCACCAGTCAAGGATCCTGATGATGATGACGATGAAGCCCCGCCCCCTGTTGTAGCACCACGTCCACAGCATACCATATCTGTGAGTGAAGATCTCTTGTCATATATATCATGTCAAATAGGTATATTACTTAATTTTTTGAGTGAACACCATATTGTTGGTGTCTTTGTTGTCTGGATAGGTATACACTCGTTCTGTCATCGATCCTATTCCGGCACCTGCTGCCATTGCAGACACAGATGGTTGCAAAGCTGCAGATAAACAGAAGAAGGGCAAGGGCAAGATGACAGATGAGGAGATTATGGAGAAACTTAGTAAGTCTTTTGTGGTTACTCAACATTAGAGATGCTCACTATAACAATACTATTATTATATGCACTGCAGCATGTGAAAGTGATTCTGTATGACAGAATCCTAACTGTGTTGTGGTGATTGATCTCAGGAACTATTGTCAGTATTGGAGATCCCAAGAAAAAATACACAAGATATGAAAAAATTGGACAAGGGTAAATATATTCTATGATTCTTGGTTATTTTTTTCAATATGTCAGTCAGTATCACAAAAACAGTTAGCCAGTAGCTGAATTTATATTAACTATAATCTAAGATTGCTTCAATTGAATATTGTCTTTTTACAGTGCTTCTGGTACGGTGTATACAGCCATTGATGTTGCTACTGGCCAAGAGGTATTTTCTCTATTCGGTTCTTAATCTAATTTTAATCAATGTTTCCTGAGAAAAATCCTTGAATAAAAATGTAATTAACCTATGGGTCTGAGACAATTGCTTGATGTACACTACTGTTCGTGCAATAAATAAAAAATGATAGTAAAGACATTCATAGGATTTCTATTTCAAATAAATGCACATTTCTAGCAACACAACCGTTTTTTACATGAAAAAATGTTTCTTGAGCACCACATCAGCAAATCATGTGACACATTTTAAAATATATTAAAACTGAATTTTGAAATGTTTCTTGAGCACCACATATTACTGTTTGTGCTGTATTTTTGATCAAATAAATTCAGCCTCGCTGAGCATAAGAGACGAATTTAAAAAGAAATATTACAGACCCCAAGCTTTTAATTACACTAAATTAACATTAAATGGACTGCCATAATTTAATTGTTTGAGTTTCATTTAGTCTTTTCACAGTTGACATAGGCTAAGCTAACTGACAGTGATGTGTTTCTATAGGTAGCTATCAAGCAGATTAACCTACAGAAGCAGCCCAAGAAGGAGCTGATCATCAATGAGATCCTGGTGATGAAGGAGCTGAAGAACCCAAACATTGTCAACTACGTAGACAGGTAGGTACTTTACATCCCTTAAAGCTATTTAAACTTGATTATTTTGTGCATTGTATCCCATAATGTTTTCAGCCTTCTACTGTAACATCTACCTTGGATTTTTTTGTTTTTGTTTTGTATGTGCAGCTTCTTGGTAGGAGATGAGCTCTTTGTGGTAATGGAGTATCTTGCTGGAGGCTCTCTGACTGATGTGGTTACAGAAACCTGCATGGATGAGGCACAAATCGCTGCTGTCTGCAGAGAGGTACAGTATTTCTGGCATAGTAGTTGTGACCTCAGAGCCATTTGTTTTTCCCATCATCACCTGAACATTGTGGTTTCTCTACAGTGTTTACAAGCTCTAGAGTTCCTGCATTTAAACCAGGTCATTCATCGAGACATCAAAAGTGACAATGTTCTATTAGGAATGGATGGATCTGTTAAACTAAGTGAGTCCATGATCCCACTGTCAAGTCCTGGCTTCATTATATCAGAACAGTTTGAATGAATTGTCTGCTCTTCTCTTTTCAGCTGATTTTGGGTTCTGTGCTCAAATCACGCCTGAGCAAAGTAAGAGAAGCACCATGGTAGGAACACCCTACTGGATGGCCCCTGAAGTGGTCACACGTAAAGCCTACGGGCCCAAAGTGGACATATGGTCCCTGGGTATCATGGCCATTGAGATGGTAGAGGGCGAACCTCCTTATCTCAATGAAAATCCTCTGAGGGTGAGCCTTTCCTGACTCTGTCACGGATTCATTTGTTAAGTCTTTTTGTAATTAATGACGGTGGTTCAAGTGATCTGTTTAACTTTAAAGAAAAGATTTATGGCATTAATGCTTGATGATCATCTCCAGGCGCTGTACCTCATCGCTACTAATGGCACCCCAGAGCTCCAGAACCCAGAGAAGCTGTCACCCATTTTTAGAGACTTCCGAATCCTCTGAGGGTGAGCCTTTCCTGACTCTGTCACGGATTCATTTGTTAAGTCTTTTTGTAATTAATGACGGTGGTTCAAGTGATCTGTTTAACTTTAAAGAAAAGATTTATGGCATTAATGCTTGATGATCATCTCCAGGCGCTGTACCTCATTGCTACTAATGGCACCCCAGAGCTCCAGAACCCAGAGAAGCTGTCACCCATTTTTAGAGACTTCCTAAACCGCTGCCTCGAGATGGATGTGGAGAAGAGAGGTGGAGGAAAAGAGCTCTTGCAGGTAAGGAGCAAAACTGAATTCCAAAAATGCCTCAACAAATGAGTTTTGTCAGTTCAAAAATCTCTGTCTGAATATGTCAGGGTTTCCCAAACGGGGGTTCGTGAGGGAATTAGCAATGGCTTTGTGAGGTGATGAAAAGCGAATAATTAATACTAATAATAATTTTATGTAATATTAAAATGGATAAATAGGGCAGCAAGATTAATCAAAATAAAATGGTAATCACTATTTAGATGAGTGCATTTGAGAATGCAATGTGCACTAGGTTCTCTTTATTTACATTCACATAATTTCCAACATTTTTGTGGACAAACGTTTACAGCATTTCAACAGTATTCTGCCAAAATAAAATCTTGAGGTTTGGAATGTTATATGCGTTGAGGGTTAGATATTTGAAAATGAAGAATTTAAGACACACACCTTATTATTAGTAGTTGCAACTTGTAGTGTAAAATGATTTCTAATTGTCAAATTTTTTTTATTTCATTTTTTTTTACTTTGAAGTAAAGTTTGAAGTACAGTTAAAGTACATTTGCCTTAATTTTTGTATTTAAAATGAATAATTATTAATATTTCATTAAAATAATAATGTAAATTAATTTCATTTAAAAAATGACAGTAAAAAATATATGTATTTTGTTTATTTGCAAATCTTGTGACTATCAACCATCACCACAGAACAGTGAATATGTGGATGTGTTCTTAATTTATTGTAATATTAACTTAATTTCATAGGGGGTACTTAAAGTAAATATTTTACATCTAAGGGGTTTTGCTGAACAAAAAGGTTTGGGAACCTCTGGAATAGACTGTGAATCTATTTAATTTTCTGTAAAATGTCCTTCTGTCTCTTGCAGCATCCCTTCCTGAAGCTGGCAAAGCCTCTTTCCAGCCTCACTCCCCTTATACTTGCTGCCAAAGAGGCAATGAAGAGTAACCGCTAGCCGTTTGTCACTATGTAAATGAGTTTTGTCAGTTCAAAAATCTCTGTCTGAATATGTCAGGGTTTCCCAAACGGGGGTTCGTGAGGGAATTAGCAATGGCTTTGTGAGGTGATGAAAAGCGAATAATTAATACTAATAATAATTTTATGTAATATTAAAATGGATAAATAGGGCAGCAAGATTAATCAAAATAAAATGGTAATCACTATTTAGATGAGTGCATTTGGGAATGCAATGTGCACTAGGTTCTCTTTATTTACATTCACATAATTTCCAACATTTTTGTGGACAAACGTTTACAGCATTTCAACAGTATTCTGCCAAAATAAAATCTTGATGTTTGGAATGTTATATGCGTTGAGGGTTAGATATTTGAAAATGAAGAATTTAAGACACACACCTTATTATTAGTAGTTGCAACTTGTAGTGTAAAATGATTTCTAATTGTCAAATTTTTTTTATTTCATTTTTTTTTTACTTTGAAGTAAAGTTTGAAGTACAGTTAAAGTACATTTGCCTTAATTTTTGTATTTAAAATGAATAATTATTAATATTTCATTAAAATAATAATGTAAATTCATTTCATTTAAAAAATGACAGTAAAAAATATATGTATTTTGTTTATTTGCAAATCTTGTGACTATCAACCATCACCAGAGAACAGTGAATATGTGGATGTGTTCTTAATTTATTGTAATATTAACTTAATTTCATAGGGGGTACTTAATATTTTACATCTAAGGGGTTTTGCTGAACAAAAAGGTTTGGGAACCTCTGGAATAGACTGTGAATCTATTTAATTTTCTGTAAAATGTCCTTCTGTCTCTTGCAGCATCCCTTCCTGAAGCTGGCAAAGCCTCTTTCCAGCCTCACTCCCCTTATACTTGCTGCCAAAGAGGCAATGAAGAGTAACCGCTAGCCGTTTGTCACTATGTGCCAATACCCAAATTCCTTCTCACGACCGAGTCCTGTGAGAACCTCCATCACTCCAGCAGAGTCTCCCTTCTAGTCCCGCAAAGGACCTTTGCTATTCAGCCCTGAGGACCCTAGTCATCTCCACCTGGGCGACTAACTTGCACAATCACCATGTCTTGCCTCCTCACACCAAACTCTCCTTTAATGTGCCTTAAAAAGGCTACAAAACCAGAGGAGCCACTGACTGTAGACCTCTCTTGTTTTCTACTGATGTCTCTCATTGTATTTGTTTAATGTACACGGTTCAGACACCATTGTGCATCGGTCAGTGTGTACCTGAACATTTCATGCATTTCTGTCAAAATTCTCTTGTATTTTATTGAGTATTGTTGAGCTCTGGCCTAACAAAGAACTCCCCTCCTTTTTTTTTTACCTTCCAGAGAAGTATTATAATACTTGAACTATCCCATCCTCTCTTAATGACCGGTCACTTGTGCCTACTACCTACTTGCCTTCACCTGTCTCAACAAAATGGAACAATTTTGCTGTATGAAATTAAATGAACCATTTCTGTTTTTAAATTTTTATTGCAAAACCTAAGGTTTATTCTTTTTGTATATTATGCATTTTGATTAGCATGCCGAAATGGGGGGGGGGGGGTAGAAATCAGGAAATTTTTACATGTTTTGTATTTATGTGTATGTACACAGTATTTTATATTTTAACTAACAATCTGACAGAATGCCAGACCTTAATGCATCTCCAGAGGTTGTCATAGAAATTATAATTTGCTATGTTCTTTGCATGTTAAATCTAACTTGTTTTTAACATTACATTTCAATGAGAAACATTTTCAGACATTCCAATTGAGTAAATACACTTTCTGTCTGTTTTCTGCTTGTTTCCTACAAGATACAAAGTTTTTGTTAATGATGAAACATCTTAAAAATATGCTTTGTAAATTATTATTAAAACAGACTTGGAGCAAAGCTGGTTGAACCTGTAACATCGACTGGTACATTTCTAGAGCTTGCATCATTCGGTTATGACTCTTAAAAGATATAGTTGACTACAGTACTTGATGAAATCTAAATTAAATTCATGTTAATACTGGTGTGAATCCTATTTGGTCCGACAGTAGTGTTTAATAATCTCTGTACTTGAAACGGATGTCCCTTCATTCTTCTTTTTTTTTTTATCAGAAGGTATAATTAAGACATTTGTTTCATTTTTGATGAAGCTGTGATGTCTGACGTATAGCCTGAGCATGTGAAATTATGTTTCCCCTAAAAATACAGTTTTTAGTTTACAGATAGCACAGAGGAATAGCCATAAATTAAATGACTTGAGAAGTTGCAGAGCCAAATTTGAGAGGCCTCAGCACTTCCTCTTTGTAGTCCGTTATGAAAGCAGGAAGCTTGAGTGTTAGGAAGAACAGTTCAGCTTTCACCTCTAGTGTTTCGCCAATATCTAGACATCACATGGTGTTGAACTTGATTCAAAGTAGAAATCTAACTTTTTGGGACTCCAGATCATGGCTGACACTTTAGAGAATAACACTGAGTGCCCTCCATCTGCCAAGAGTGAAGCTTCAGCAGGCGGTCTGAGCATGCTGGAGAGCTCGGTGCAGGAGAACCGACAAGATGGGCAGGTTGTGTTTGAAGACTCTGTGTTTGCTGGTTGTTTGCAGGATGGACTGCACAGCCTCCGGCTGGAGGACAACTTAACCGACGTCAGCCTCCACGTACAGGGTCAGAGCTTCCAGTGCCATCGAGTGGTCCTTGCTGCAGCCAGTCATTATTTCAGGTAAGCCAGTGGCACATTCACATCTAAAGAAATGAGTTTGCTTGTTTCATGTAACTTTTATTTTTATTTAAAAACAAATAGTAAGAGAGCAGTGATTCTACTTTAGATATACCATTTTAAGTTATCACGTAAGTTGAATTTTTATTCATATATATTTTACAGAGCAATGTTTTGTAATGACTTGAGAGAAAAACATGAAGAAAATGTAAATATTAAAGGCATTGATGCTGACACCATGGGAATCCTGTTAGAATACACTTACACCAGCAAGGTCATCATAACCAAGGACAATGTTCAGAGAATGCTTGAGGCAGCCAGTCTATTTCAGGTTTGTACTATCAGCTTTATATCAAACGTTTCCTTTATGGGCAATATGTTTTACTTTTTTACCAGCAGCACGTCTAGTATGACAGAATAGCCTATATGTAACACGGTCTCTGTCGAGTATGACCGTTTTATTGTTCAGCAGTATGTTTTTGCTGGGTACACATGACAGCTATTTCACTTTTTACTTCCCCACTGCCACATCTGTTGTATTTTGCTATGTTTGTTTCTTTTTGTTGGAAGTGAAGACATCAAAATCACCTTAAAAAAACAGGGAAGTGAAACTGTACATTATTTCCAGAGGGGATATTTTCCATTACAGTGAGTTTTAGTAGTCACATCTGGGTTAAGGTACTTTAGCTGGGTGGGGTCATGTGTTTACTAAACATAGTTGATGTCGCTTATATATCAAATTATAAAGTATAATCATAATTACATTTTTGCCAAAGGCCAAATCTGTTATCAGGCTATTTCACATTATTAAAGCATATATAGCACCTTTTAAAACAATTTAACTGTAGATATATACTGTATAAAAACACTACTCTAAAAGTTTGGGGTCGGCGAGATTTTTATTGATAGTTTTCAAGAGGACCTCTTTTATGCTCACCAAGGCTGATTTATTTGAGCTAAAAACAGTAATATTGTAAAATATTATTGCAATTTAAAATGACTTTCTGTAATATATTTTAAAATATAATTTATTCCTGTGATGCAAAGATGAATTTTCAGCATACATTACTCCAGTCTTCCGTGCCACATTATCCTTCAGAAACTCTTTTTAATATGCTGATTTGGCACTCAAAAACATTTATTATAATCAGTGTTAAAGACACTTGTGCTGCTTAATATTTTTGTGGGAAAAAACCATAATACATTTTTTTTAGGATTGTAATATTATAATACTGTCACTTTTGATCAATGTAATGAATTTTTGCTGCATAAAAGTATACATTTCTTTTTAAAAAGTCCCTAAATGTCTAAATGCTAAGCAATAATGTAATGCTCTGTTATGATCTCAAATCTAATCTATGTTTGCAGTTTCCGCGTATAGTGGACGCCTGTGCCAGTTACTTAGCAGAAGCCCTTCACCCGGAAAACTGTGTGGGAATCCTGCATCTAGCTGATGTGCATTCGCTGGAGTCTTTGAAAGCCCAAGTCTACTCCTACATTATCCAAAACTTCTCTCAAGTGGTGGATCATGATGAGATCCTTGAGCTTCCTGCAGATGTGTTGGTCAGTGTGCTCCAGCATGATGACTTGGGGGTAACGGAAGAGGAGCAGGTGTTTGAGGTGCTTATGCGTTGGCTGAGGGCCCGACAGGATGAAAGATTAGCTCAGCTGCCCCGTGTCCTCACACATGTGAGGCTGCCCTTGTTGGACCCATGGTACTTTGTAGAAAGGGTGGAAGGAGACCCTCTGATCCGCCAGTGTGCCGAGGTGTTCCCACTTCTGCAGGAGGCCCGGGTTTATCACCTCTCAGGCAAAGAGGTCAGTTTTACAAAGGTGACCTTTCTAAATGCTTGATGTCATGTTGAAGTGGTCACAAGACATTCAAATACAGGAAGTGAAATCCAAGCTTAGGAATTATGACTGTGCGTCATAATGACATGGCAAGCTTTCTGTTTGGAGGAAGTGTATTAATTCATAATGTCCACTTACATATGAAAGAAACTGTCTGTTAGGGATTGCTGTAAATTATACAGGGAACCTTCTACCTTTGAACATTGCAAAAAATTATATAAAAATTGTATTATTATTATTAATAATAATAATAATAATAAAAGGGGCCCAAACTATGCAGTTCAACAATGATATTTATTTACTAGGTAAAATAATCAATTTATTAACCAAAAACTGTTCAGCTAGATAGCAGTTGAAGTAAACTTTAAACTTAATACATTTTGGAAAGATGATATAACAACGTGTAAAAATATTTACAAAATGTGTTTTAAAAAATATATA